GGAGGCCAGGAAGGCCCCAGTATGATCTAAGCAGTAGCCTTTATTCTCTCAAGGCTTGGAGCACACATAGGCCCAGTGGTGACCTGGGCATTGGGCCCCGTGAACAGTCCCCTCCCCGGGCTTTCCAGACAAAGATGGGTTGGCTGACAGATTTTCTTTCTTGCAGGGTGGACAGGGTCTCAGCTTTAGGCATGAGAGCTCCTGGTATCATTGACAGAGAAGAGAAACTGTGGCCAGTGGGACCCGTTTATTGCTTGCTTGTTTAATCGCCAGAAACCATACTTTGCAAATGGGCAAGGAATCAGAATCTCACATGTCATGCAGGAGGGACAATGCAACTCAAGTGACAAAGCCAGCTTGTGGTGTGCATAAGTCCACATGGCTGTGTGTAAGCACCTATCTGGGAATATACGAAGGGAAGCTGGCCAGACACTCCCATGGTAATCTTACAAGTTTTTATTGAGACCTGGGGTTTCAGTTTCAGTGTGTGAGAAGGAGTCAGAGGGTGATACTGTGTCTGCATTCAAGGGTGCAAGACTCAGCAAGGGAAAGCCTTGCCCAGAAGTGTCACCAGGAGTGTGTGGCTTTGGGTGCCAGAGCCAGTGGGAGAGGCCATGCTCCTTTCCTATCTAATCAAACCTCCTGGCATTGACAGAGGTGAATTGGGGGTGGAGAGATCTGCCTCACCATTATCTCTGCTCTCGTGGCATCCTTCTCCTCCCTCCCCTCCTCCCTCTCTCCCTCCTTCTCTCTCCCTCCCTCCATCCCAGCTTTGCTCCCGCCTATGAAAAATCAGCAAATAAAAAGTTACATTAACCCCACCCTGACCTCGCCGACATAATACACTGCAGGCTGATGCGCTGCCTTCGGAGGCTCGCTGAGAACCTGTCACTCTCCAATGTCCCGAGCACAGCCTGGGGAGCATTTACCGGATAATTAATATATTAAATGCATGAAAATAGTTACACAGACTTCCCCTCCCTGCCCAGGGAAGGGGGGTGGGATGCAAAAAGACAGATTCAGGCTGTATACCTCAATATAAAAGCATCCCCCGAATAGCCATCATAAAAACCTGTTCATAATTTTATAGCTTCATTCCTGTTGGAGCACCATAAGGCAAGTCATATTTTTTACACTCAGGATGCCCCATAAAAAAAAGAAGCGAATGAGAAACTGAGAACTTGGCAGGAGGCGCCTTTACTCTCACCTGAGGGTGAGGGACAAGAAGGCGCCCCCGACGTTTGTCCTCTCTGAGCCCCTCCAACCACCCTTTTCTTGGCCCAGCTGTGAATTCTGATGAGTCCATCAGAGTAATTATTAATTGGATGACTTTATGACTTTTTCT